AATCTCGTGGGACTGGAGTAAGCGCACGTGTGTGCGTGCGTGCGTCATCGAGTGCTTTAAATCCGTAGAACAAAAAAGAAAACAAATAAACAAAATGACTCACACACTTCTCGAGCCTTTCTCTCCCTGTGTGTGCGTCTCCGCATCGCCTGACTTATCTGCCGCCAGTCCTCCTTCTCCCGAAGTTAACTCATGCCACCCGTACGCGAATCGCTCACTGCCGGGTTGATTACAATGGACACCGGTAACAGGCACGACCCGTTTGATGAAAAAGATTAAAAAAACTGGTTTGTGTGCTTGTCAACGTGTGTGTTAGTGTGCTCAGCATTTCAGGAGTACTTGATACGGGTTGAGAAACAAGACGAGGGAGGAGGGCGGCAAGCAAGGACGGGGAGTCTGAGTTCGGTTACTAACATTCTTCATATGTCATCTTCGGTAAAGCCTTAAAGATTCTGTTTCCACACCATGGGGATGCACTTTAATAGTGTAAACCCAAATAGTCAAACAGACCGCACGGGCAGCATATTTTCGAGCTTGTTACCAAGTTCAAACGCGATTTAAAATGGATTTCGAGGTCATGCAGTGCACACCAAATGTATGGTTATAGTCAATCTCTGCCATTCTATTTCTTTATCACAAGTTTCATAAAGTTCTCTTCTGTTTCACTAAAACCCAAAGGTATTTTAAACTATGATAGCGTACTGTTGGATATGAAAATCTGATTGTCAAAGCAGTTAAAATAAAGGGACCTATCAACCATAACTGAGGCACGACACCTTCTCAGCATTTACTCCCAGCAGATTGCGGTGATTCTTCAACGTTTATCATATGATTCCATATCCAAGTGATTGGTCCGTGTAAGTCTATGGAAAGTTATTTGGTATCTTCACATAAAATCTCACCGGACAAGGACAATCTGTTTGTAATTGTTACCGCTTTTCACAATTTGATGGGGTGGCAGTTGTTCACCAATGGAAGAATACACCGACATTTAGCACACTAGCACATGGCCATGCGTTGTGATCGCCGCAGACAGTTCTCATACATGTGTTATGAAACGCGAGCGTTTTGGCCGATGAAATAGAGCGTCCAATCATCTGATTCACATCCGGCGGAACAATTAAGAAGCAATTGGATTGCCAGTTTCAGCAAGACTCATTTGTAACCGGGCCACTTTGACAATCCTCTATTTGAAGTACGAAAAGTGACACAGGTTGCTTCTTGGGTTCGAAATCAAATTGTACAACTGTTTACCGTGAGCCAAAAGTACACCTGTGCCGGATGCACCCATTAGGGGAGTGATGTTTAATGTTGGGAAAACGTTTAATTTCGTCGGATAGGGTAATTTACATCCAGATTTTCACGATTTTATAGAAAGAAAGAAATTGTATTATTAGGCCGCGTGATGACAAACGATCGGATTGTGACCTGGAATTCATTTTCTGCGGCTGAATTGTGCCAATCGGTTATCAGAAAGGGTAAACAAGGTGAAACATCCCGTAGAAACACACTGAACCATCTCATATTCATCAGAGACGATGGGTGGAACAACACCACTCAACCACAACAGCGCTACAACTCACACACGTGTCATACGTGGGAAAATTGTGACTAATTCTTCGGGTAATCCACGTTTTTGAGTCACATTCTCAGCATAATTGGGATCCTTTGAGAATCGCTATTTATCATGCCAGTGTATCGAGATTCAAAGGCCTGTGTTGACTTTGCTGAACTAAAGGCCATATTGAATGCGAAGTGGTATGGCATTGTGTTGTAATTTATTTTATTGCATTGCATAGACCTTTGCAGATAGGCATGCCTACATTTCCATCAAAAAAAGAAACACATCTCGCTTTTACAGTGACAGATAAAAAAAAGGAATTAATGGTTGAAGAACTGGGAAAGACATTACCCACTCCTAAAGATTTATGTATTATTATTGCCGTTACAGGATAAACGTTTGCCAGGAGAATTTATATACAGGATGCTATTAGCGGGTAAACTAGGTCTATTTGAAGGATAAATAAAAGGGAACTAATTGAAGGTGAAGAGCGAGTGAGTTCCAAAACATAAATCTTATGAATAAAACTCGCTGTAGAGTACACGGGAGGTAGTTAAATGGGACTGATTAAAGGCTTAGCTCCGATAGACAACGGTGGAAATTCTCTTTAAAGTAAATCAAGGAGCATGACCGGGGAAATGATAAAGAGCAATGGCGAAAACACTGATACAAAAAGAAACAAGTTAAGGATTGTTTGGTTTTAAGAAATGGAAAGAAAACCATTACATTTTACCAACAGTACACATCAAGTGAAAGGATAATTTCAGGATAGATTCTGAGGAGAGGCCGATGTACTTGATGCCAGGGTATAGTGGGATAAGATGAACGCGAAAAAAAGCACTCGAAAACCGGCCTTAAAAAAACGAGGACTGCAAACTGTACCATTGATTCAGGGGCAATATTCTAAAAGGTAAAAGATAAATTTTGAGCTAGCTTAAACCAAGCTCTGATGCACAAGACTACATACACACAGCCACTCTCCATCAAATGCAAGCGCGTGTGACTATAACACAGAAATCAAAGAGATGCTGTATTGATAAATGTTTCTGTTTACTGCACTGTAAACTTGGCTCAACTTGGTTTGGTATTTTCAACGATGAGCATGTTTAGACCGTGGTGAGGATCGATACTGGATCTGACGTGGACCGTGAACCGTATAGGACCTCAGTGGAACAACAGTTAAGTAAACTGCTTCCAAAGTTGGGTGCAGGCGGCGGGGTTTGAACCTTGGACCTTAGGACCGAGTACATGCCAGTGACAGAGACTTAAACCGCTGAGATCCTGCACAGTCGATCCGATTTATCTAGTTTATGCATAAATCATGTGTTCAATTCAGACAACATAATTATTCATCTATTGTGATATACCAAAGCGATGTGTCCCGATTGGCTTTTATGGCAACATAATGCAATAAATAAACGTACCACTGTACCGCCTCCGAAAGCCTCAGTATTATCGGGGTGGGTATCTAGAGTTACGGATGGTGACCCTTCCTTTGCATCTCGCGAAATGCTCTCATACGACCAAGCGTCTCGAATAGCCTCTGTTGAAGAAGCTCTACTCACTGCCTTCTCTTGGCAGAGGTGTTTTCCCACCAAAGTGAGAGGAAAAAGCTGACATCCGGGGCTGTAACCGGATTGGTGGACCGCTGGCAGTTCACCTTGGGGAGTTGGCTATAAACCCTGATCCCAAACCAACCAAGAAGAGGCGTACGAACCACACCCACCCACCCACCCACACATTCCTGGTTGTGGTAGTGGTCATCGTCTGGATTGGGTATTGAGGTGTATTGGAAACCTTGGACGTTTGACCCCGACAAAGTGTGTATGATCCGATGAACTCGATGCCGGCCTCCAATGGATTGCGGGTTTTGCGCACCGATTCGCTGCCTTGCATGTGAGACTTTGGCTAGCCGAAGGCTTCGATTATGGATTCCTCAAGAAAATTCACCTGCCTTGACCTGGGCAACCTGGCAGTATTCAGCCCGCATGCCAATCATGGAACGTTTATCTTTTTTAAAGATTGTTGTACCATGATTTGATTGGCACACATTCTGGCGTCAGACGTGTGTGAAATATAATAATATACCATTGTGTGCTTTGTGCAACGATATAAGGTGCATATGTATTCGGAGCTAATCCTTTTTCTTGGTTTCAATATCTACTTGATGCATGCAGTCTTTCGATTGTCTTTAATATATTTCGGATGCTAAATCGAATTGTTGTTTAACTACCTGTGTATATGAGAACAAGAAGGATGCAATCAATCACTCAATCAATTATTTCCTCACCAAACCGTGCGCTTCTCTTCCGAGTAGTATTCAGCACTCTCAGATGCATAACAATTAGAGTGGAACGGCGGCGGTAATCAAGTCTTGTAGGTCACCATCGTATCACCTCTTGTCATGATACTACCACCACCACCACCACCGCTGGTAGTTCTCCACTCAGGACACTTAAAACCACACAGAACAGTCAGGGAAAGATTTATCATACGAAAGCTTTTTCCCCGAAACAGTATTTGAGATTTCTGGTTTTAATCAGGGATTGTGGAAATTGTGGAAATATCCAATGAGACAAGAAAAATATGAGCTTGAAGACCTCATGGGTAAACATATTTTTGCATCCATAGGCTGTTTCATGCTGTTTATTCAACAAATAAAATTGTTCAGTTTCTGAAGATTGAACTTTTGATACGCGAAAATATATTTCTTCAACTTNATGTGAGACTTTGGCTAGCCGAAGGCTTCGATTATGGATTCCTCAAGAAAATTCACCTGCCTTGACCTGGGCAACCTGGCAGTATTCAGCCCGCATGCCAATCATGGAACGTTTATCTTTTTTAAAGATTGTTGTACCATGATTTGATTGGCACACATTCTGGCGTCAGACGTGTGTGAAAATAAAAAATATACATACATCGTCTGCATCTTCGGATATACACAGTAGTGATGCAGACTGATATACATGAAAACCGGAAAGTTCGATAATCATATCAAATTGCGGTTGAATATTACAGACAGTAGAGCAATGAAACGATAAAACTGAGTCAAGCTCACTAAGTACCTTATGCGCCTGAAAGGGTGAATACTCAGCTAACATCAGATCACGATGAAGGGGAAATGCTTTTTACATGAAAATAAGTCTAAGAAAAGTTAAAAGCACCCAGACCAAAACAACGCAAACCGAAACTGAGATACTGTTCGTTCTGGATTGTATGTATTGGACAAAACAGAGTAGGAAGAGTAACCTCAAAGCGGCACACAGTTTTCAAATAGTAAAAAATCTAAAATGAAATGAGGAGTTGTCAATTTCGACTGATCATTGGTAGACGACATCGGATCCTCATGCTGATAATGGCTTAGTATCACAAAGTCGATTATGCAAGGTCAAGGAAAAACTTCAATGTGACCGCACTGGACGCTAGGAAAAAACAAAACTCACGCAGTTTGTGAATCCAGTTGACGACGCAAGCTGGACAGCTCGCCCTCGTATTTGCGCAGAGTCTCTGTCTGGGCTACACTGTTCGAGCCACTGTCGATGAGCTCAAGGCGCATGGACTCGAGTTCTTCTGTAAGGTCCCGTTTGGCCTCCTCCGCCTTTTCGCGAGCCTTACGTTCAGATTCGACATCTTCCTTTAATTCCTGAATGAGAGTCTCGCACTCACGAACCTGAAAACCACAAACCAAGGTTTTGTTTGTTGTGTCAGAGACAAGAACACAGACAATGATAGTCCAAATCTGCTTGGATACAAGCACAACCGTAAGCACACATCAAATAGGACGTGTGAGAATACCCAACGAAAAGATTACAACGGTGAATTAAAAGACCACATTGGTGAAAATGTGGCCAACAGATCAAAGGAAACGCGGGGAGTAACTGTGATGTGAACTCAATCAAGGAAGATAAGTGTACTGGTCTATGGTTGAGGATCAACAAGAGGAGCGGTCAGATACAAGTGTGAATTTATCATAGCTATATTGGAGGAATAAAGCTCAAGCCTTAGGAGAAATCTTCTCCTGTGTTATGCACTTTTAATTGATGTGAAAACTTTGCACGGACTGCGTTGAAAAACGCTTTAATAGACTCATCGCGTGTTCCTATTAAGACCCTGAAAACTAACCGCATTACCAGTTCGTGAGCAAGCTTTAATAGTCTTGGTCACTTGTTATGATCAGCGTATAAACGACGGCATCATTTGGTGTGGCCTGTAACTCGTAAAATGCAGCCTGACGTATGACACATCCTGTCATTGTGCTTCAGACAAATTAATTGAAAAAATAGCAGTAGGGGAAATCAGAAAGAAAAGCTACAAGAGGATTTAGCAAACCACAAAACCGAAAACCGCAACGTCATAGTCAACTATACTTCACGTATGTGCTTCAAATACACATAAATGATAAGACTAATCTTTCATTTCGATCAACACGGGCAACAAACCCATGAATAGGGTATCCCTGTTCATCAGTTACTTTCTCTCCTGATAGCTTCACCTATCCAGTTTTTACAACCTCTGGCTCGGTGTTACTAGCTGCTGTCGGCAGCAAGATCAACCGAAAACAAAACATAAAATGACTGAATTAAAAATTAGAAACAACGGGTTTGGAAGTGCTGGTCTAATGAGCCTTATGACGGTTGGAACACAAAACGGCAAAACAAGGTCAACACAACACAATATACATATGACT